TCACTCACTTGATAAGTGCTTGCAGTCACTCTGGGCTTGTTAAGGAGGGTAAACATTACTTCAAAATCATGTCACAAGTTTATGGGGTTGAGCCAAAGTTGGATCACTACTCTTGCATGGTTGATCTTCTGGGTCGCTCTGGGCTGTTGAATGATGCTTATGAAATGATCAAACTCATGCCATTAGAACCTAATGCTGCTATTTGGGGAGCTCTTCTTGGTGCATGTAGGATTTTTGGAAATATTGAACTTGGGAAGGAAGTGGCAGAGCTATTGATAGTGTTAGACCCATGGGATCCGAGAAACTATATTATGCTATCTAATATACTCTCTGCAGCTCGTTTATGGAAGGATGCTGCAAAGGTTAGGGTTTTGATGAAGGAGAGAGGTCTTATGAGAAGCCCTGGGTGCAGTTATATTGAATATGGAGACGAAATTCATCAGTTTTTGGTGGGTGATCGATCACATCCTGAATCTGAGAAAATACATAAAAAGCTGGAGGATGTAATGCAAAAAATTCGAGAAGCTGGATTTGTGTCTAGAACAGAATCTGTCCTGCATGATGTTGATGAAGAGGTGAAAGAGGATATGATCAATCAGCACAGCGAGAAGTTAGCCATTGCATTTGGGCTTTTGGTAACAAAGAGGGGCATGCCATTGGTTATAACAAAGAACCTCAGGATATGCTGCGATTGTCACAACACCGCAAAGTTTATATCTCTAATTGAGAAGCGTACTATTATAATTCGAGATTCAAAGCGATTCCACCATTTTGAAAATGGATTATGTTCTTGTGGAGATTATTGGTAATTCCTTTAAGCAGTGGTATGGAAAAACCAACTAATGTAAGATCCATTTGTGTATTATCACATTTTAACGAGGTACATAATTTTTATATTCTTTATTTCATTTTGCATTATAAATTTATACGATCATCGCGAACAATATTACATAGGTCAATATAAATTTTTTTTCTAATCTAATGGGAGGATTCATTAAGAAAGTATACAAAAACTACAACTTATATTCACTAATTGATAAATGTAAGTGTGTAAAAATTTTTCATCTTATTTTTTATAAACAAACTACAATACATATGGAAAATTCCATGATGTAAATATTACAAATCAATTTATGAATGAACTTTTTGCTAGCTGCTATCCTAGAAAGATTTTCCCTTCAAAAAATTGCCTACAACTTCTGCATTTGAAGAGGAATTATATTGTAAATATTAATTATAAAGTTTATATTATCATCTTTTGTTAATATTTTTCTATTTAGAAGTACCTAAAATTTTAAAAATTTATTTAAGTATTTAAAAACAAAAAGATAGAATTCTAAATTAAATAAAACAAGATTCAATTCATAAATCAAGTCGAAGAGTAACGTGTGACTCTCACACGCCACGAAGTTCATTTGTGCCGTTTATTATCACGTACTGCCAAAGAATGCGAGGAACATGTTTATATTTTAATGTATGCGTTACATAATAAATATTGAACTACTATTGAACGTGCGTTACTAAATCTGACTCGATTTACAATCATATCAACTTATTTAATACATATTTTTTATTTTTAAAAACAACATGGTTATAATCATGAAGTATATGTTATTAATTTGAATAAAAATTGTATGTTGTATCGGTTTGAAGATAAACATTTTCTTTGAAATAATTGTATACTCCAATATAATTAAATAAACTTTTTTTTTTTTTTTTTTTTTAGTTTGGTTTTTGCGTGTAGGAAGTCCCGGTGGAAAGCGCTTGTGTTGCAGAAATCTCAGCAGATGTGTACTGGAAGATATGTTCAGGGTTCAGAGAGTAGTCAGGAGAAAGACGGCCAAGTGCATGTCAACGTTTGGAGAAGGAAGAAAAAGAAGCTTAGAAATTAAAGCTCAAGAGCAGAGATGTCAGACTTGGATTGACACCAGAGAGAAAGAAAGAAAGAAAGAAAGAAAGAAAGAAAGGGTTTATTTATTATCTCTAATAAATTTAAATGAAATTATAATAAATCATAAACAGTAAATAATAAATACTCAATACAAGTAGTAGGGAGATTGAGTAATATTTTAGCAACAGAGAAAAAGTCTGGGTTTGCCTTCTCACTCTCACTCTGGTTGGCCATTCACTACAAAAGGCCAAAATCTTCACAACCGTTACCCTCTCACGCCTTCACCACTTTACTCTGCTTCCACCTTTTCTCTCACTTAATTTTTACCTTGAAATCTCCCCTTCTCTTCTCTTTAAAACCTTCATTACTATCCCTCTCCGTCTACCCCCCCTCCTCTTCTTTCTCACTTTGTTCTCTCTTTCCGGTGGCTCTTGAAGTCGTCGTCGGGAAATGTCGTCGTCTTCGGTCAGAATCAAGGCCCAGAATGGCTCCCTCGAAAATAAGGAGTACCCAGAGCCCCTGGCATCTCACGAAGATGTTATTGAGGATTCGATTACTTTTTGGGACACCCTCAGGCGCTTTCATTTTATAATGGGCACCAAGTTCATGTATGCTTTCCTTTCATCTCTTTTTATCTGTTCTTTCGGGCATCTTTGGTTTTCTTGTTGGGCGAGTAGAACATTAATAGATTGCTTAGAGCATGCTGTGGTCAACTGGTAATGGGAGTCTAGTGATTAAAACAAAAGGGAATTTTCTTTTGGGTTTTTATGGATGTCTGTTTAGATATGGTTTTGTGATGATTTTGTGCCTTTTGATGTACATTAAGGATTCCTGTGATCGGAGGAAAGGAGCTAGATTTGCATGTGCTGTATGTGGAGGCCACAAACAGAGGAGGTTACCAGAAGGTTTATTTCTATGCCCAAAGCCATTTCTATGTATACATATGTATGTATATATGTAATGTGTGGCAAGATCTGAAGCTTGTATTCTAAGTTTCTCATTGAAACTTCAACTTTATACTGTTGGATCGCATAGGTTGTTGCAGAGAAGAAATGGAGAGAAGTTGGCAGTGTCTTCAACTTCTCTCCAACGACAACAAGCGCCTCTTTTGTTTTGAGGAAACATTACTTCACTCTCCTCTACCACTACGAACAGGTTCATTTCTTTAAAATGCAGGGTCCACTGATCACTCCACCGGGTACTTGCTTCTGCTCTATTTCTTCTTTCAATCCAAAATTCATTGGGTTTTCGCTTTTATTAATGATTTTCGTGTTTCTGTTTATGCATTAATATTATCATTTGTGTTTTCTATCGGTCGAATTGTATGTATATGTATATATATCTGCAGGTGCATTCCCTATCAACGACCCTCCATGCAGAAATGAATTGGCTCTCGTGGAGTATTCTCCTAAAGCTGAAACACATAATCCTGACCCACCTACTGAAGGTTAGTTAATCTCTCAGTTATGGCCAAATTTTGTAAGAGGATAAAGCGAGTATAACCATACACCACAGATGTTTGATTTAATTTTTCTGGACCAAAATTCTCTGCTTAGTTTATCTCTTACTTATGAATTATGATACCATGGAATTACATACTCAATGCTGACTTCTTATATGTATATATATATGTACATATATGTTTTATGTGCATATGGATTTCTTAATCCCTTTTCATTAGGGTCCCACTACATTTATTTTGTAATTCTCATATGTGACTATTGGAATCTTTTGTACTAATGTTTTTCTTTTTTCTTGTATTGGAAAATTTTGTTTCTTTTTTATGTCTTTGTCCATAGTTGAATGGTTTATATTTTGTATTGAAAGCTTAGCAAAAGCTTTGCCTGCCTTGAACTTTTAGTGCCCATTTGACTTGGCATTAACCCATTTTTCTCCATTTTATGTCATGGGGCCTCAATGTTCCTCTACCTTTTATGAGGAACTGGTAGTAGTAAGATAGAATTTAGTGTCGTTTTCAGTCTGTCATGGAGAAGAATATGCGAAATTTCACCTTTTCATGTCAGAAATTTATCATCAATGTTTATGGAGTATTATATCTATACATTAAGATCTGATTGTGGTTGATTTTTCTAGTAGAATATTTGTTTTGATCTTTTTTAAAGGTAATTTAAGGACTTTAGGCCACAGTAGGTCCTTCTAAGATAACTAAACAGGATTGAAATAATACTGTAATTGATTTAACACAAATTAACTCGAGAATTAAAAATTTCAATCAATTATCTGTGCAGGTTCTTCATGTTTTTCAGCTACTGGCACAATTGATGGTAAATTCGATTGCGGTTATCTGGTGTCTGTAAAACTGGGTTCAGAGACTCTGAAAGGAGTACTTTACCATTCCCACTCAGATCAGCCAGGCACATCTATCTCATCTCCTCAATACATGGGTGCTATCGTCCCGTACGACCATACTCACAAGCCGCGCAATGCTAGGAAGAGAAGAAGAAGAAGAAGAAGCAGAAGAGGGGAAGATCCCAGCTACCCAAAACCCAACAGAAGTGGTTACAACTTCTTCTTTGCTGAGAAGCATTATAAGCTCAAGTCTCTGTACCCCAACAGGGAAAGGGAGTTCACGAAGATGATTGGCGAGTCTTGGAGCAAACTCAGCCCAGAAGATAAGATGGTATTCAGAAACTCAAATCAGAAACTCTATTTTAGTCTATTGCCATTTGATACTCCGACGGTGTAGTAATCAATCTTTACAACTTAGAAGCTGAAATTATGGATTAAAATACATGGGAACCTAGCATTATTGATTCATTTAGTTTGATGATTCATGGGATTTTTTTTTGATGGTTTTGTAGGTTTATCAGAACATTGGACTAAAAGACAAGGAAAGGTATAAGAGAGAACTGAAAGAATATAAAGAGAGACTGAAGTTGCAGCAGAACATGGTGGTAGTTGAGAGGTGGGATATTATACCTCAACAACTGGGTTAGATGAAAATAATCGACAGTGAAACAATTCAGGACCAGAATTTGTGGATGTCAAACTGTTAAAAGACTGTAAGGAATGTTTTAGGGCATGGATATATATATATATATAGTACATACATGCTATGCTACATAGTCAGATGTTTATATAGTATTGTAAACTTTTAAGAAGTTATCCTTCATTTACCCTTTACTCATTTTATGATTTTCTTTAATTAATTTGGTTTTTCTTGCGGATTGATTTTTGTTGGAAGAAACCAGATATAGCAAGAAATGGATAAACCCCACGGTCAAATATTGTAAATACTAAATAGTAATTCTTAAAGAAATAGGTCTCGGAATTATTTAACAACCGAATTACTAAATAAAGAAGACAAATCACAAAACAAGCGAAAAAATTCATGGAGTCTTCTGCATATCAACCACCTTCTTCCAAGAATCGCGGCTGGAGATCTCAGACCACCACCTCTCCACATTCTTTCTCGAAGTAAACAGCTCTCCCCTGTTGGTTGCATTTACCAAATAATGTGTGTTTGGTAAGTGCGAAAGATCAGCCAAAGAGAATTCGTCACCGGCCAAAAACTGACTCTCCCCAAGTCTTTTCTCGTAAATATTCAGCACCTTCTCCAGCTTCTCTTCGTTCTGCTTGATCACACCTTCGTCTTGCTTGATCTTCATTCGCGGCGCAAAAGCCAGCTGGAAAACCAGAGCCGAACTTGGTGGGTTAAAGCTCTGTCCTTCAGCTTCCATCCATTGATCTATGGAAGCTTTTATCAGGGGGTTGGTTCCGTACAATCCTTTGTTTCCTCTTTCTGGGTACTTGTCGCAAATGTAGCGGCATATGGCTCTTGATTCTGATGTCAAACAAGCAAAACCCATATGGATAATTTTAGCTACGATTATCATTTAATCAAAGCGGGAGCAAAAGGGATTTGTGGGTAAGTGTACCAAAGAGGGAGATAGTGTCGTCTTGAAACGCTGGAACTTGACCAAACGGCTGTTAGAATTAAGCAAGGAAATTAGTGAAGATTAGGCGATGATGTACTTATGAAAGAGTAGGCACCTGACCTGAATCTTGAGGAACTCAGGCTTCTTGTGTTCTCCTTTAGCCATGTTAACGGGGATGAGCTGGAAATCCACATCTTTCTCAATGAGACAAGCCAGGACTCTTGATACAGCTGTGGAGAGAGGTGGGCCGTACACTTTCACCGGAGTCGCCATTAAAGATCTAAGATTGAGCAAGCTTTGGGGACCTGTATATGCTGTTTTTCTTTATCTTCTTCCCCTTCTTGAGTGTCTTTTTCACTATTTTCGACCATACAAGAAATGAGGACGCACTTCTGCGTTACCATTTTTAACCTCAGTCGCAGGTGGGTGGGTGAAAGCGTTAAAACGATGTCGTTTACGAGCAGCCAGGAAAGATGCCAATTAATATTTCTTAGCTTCCTAAGCTTTGTGCAAATGCTTCTTATGGGCTTATGATAATATTTCTAGCAGGAAAAAGAGGAGAAAGTGTTAAAACGATGTCGTTTATGAGCCAGCACGGAAGAAAGCCAAAACACGCGCAAGGAGGTTTGGCCAGGAAACCATGTGTACCAAATTATATAATAATAATTATTACCATTTTAGGCCCGGATAAAGCCCAATATTTTACCATTTTAGGCCTTGGTATGGCCCAATATTTTTAATGTTTAGGCCCCGCTATGGCCCAAAATTATACTGTTTTAGACCCAATTTAACTGAAGTTCCAAAAATATTCTTAAGTAATGAAGTATTAATACATACATATATACATATATATAATATGTACATATTAATAATTAATCGGTAGACATAACTACAATATGGTATACAGTAAATATTTAGTAAGAATTTATTAAAATTTAATTAAATAAAAAATAAAACAAATGAGTTCTTATAATTATAATACAACCAACAAAAAAAACGAGAGAAAACATTTAAATTTTCAAATGCTAAATGAGTATTCAAGTATAAATAAATTAGTAAAAGAATTGTATATATATAAATACACACACACACACACGTGCATATGTAGCTTTACTTCCAAAATTAGGAGGTTTTGTTCATGGGTAACTAATTTTGTTTTGTTCATAAGAAATCAACACAAATATATCGATATCTGCAATATATTTCTGTTGATACGTAAATGGAGCTTGCGTCGCAAGCATACATATACGTTGGGACAGTTATCCTGTTTCGCCAAACGACTAAAACTACATGGCAGAAGAGATCATACCACCATCTCCTAAATTTACATGTATATATACATATATAATTAGGTATATATGTATATATAATGTTTATGCATGCAGGTGGTAATGAAAAATACAAGATTTTGCTCGACAGAACCCATTGTCAGAGTCAATGGCCAGTTCCCTGGTCTGACACTTGCTAGAGAGGACGACACTGTCCTGGTCAAAGTGGCCAACCATGTTAAATACAATCTTAGCATTCACCGGTAATGCACTAATCATAAGACCTAATTGAACAACCAGATTAATAATTAATTAATTATTTCATTGTTTGATGAGGCAGGCATGGGATCGGGCATCTGAGAACTGGTTGGGCAAATGGGCCTGCGTATAACGCAGTGTCCAATCCAGCCAGAGCAAAGCTATGGGTACAATTTCAGTCACAGGTCAACGACGAACTCTTTGGTGGCATTGTCATCTTGCCCAAGCTTGGTGTCCCTTAATCATTTCCCTAAACCTCAGAAGGAAGTCGTGATCGGCTTAGTTACTTATTGTTTTTGGAGGTAAAAAGGGCCGGGAAAGACCTGAGTAATCGGCTGAAAGTTGAATTTTGTTCTTCTGTGTAGGTGAACAGTGAAAATCCGACGTTGAAGCAGTCATCAATGAAGCTCTGAAAGTCAGGCTTCGCCCCTAAAGTCCCTGACGCTCACACCATCAATGGCTTGCCAGGGCCTGTCCCAAGCTGCTCATCACAAGAGTACTCATATATACATCATATAGTTGCAGTTTTCATGGTTAATCAGTCACGTTTTTTTTCATACAGCAGAATGATGAAGATGCTTAATTATTTGCGAGGCTACACACTAACAGTAGAATCCGGCAAGACCTACATGCTTCGAATCATCAATGCTGCACTCAACGAGGAGCTCTTCTCCAAGATCACTGGTCACAAACTCACCATCATTGAAGTTGATGCTGCTTATACCACCAAGCCCTTAAAGACAGATACCATCATCTTCGGCCCGGTCAGTCCACCAACGCTCTGTTAACTGCTGATGTTGCTAATGGTGGCAAGTACATGTTGGCCGTCTCACCATTCATGGATGCACCCATTGCTGTTGACAAACCACAGCTACTGTTCTCTACTCCAGCGGCTCTCTTAGCACAACTCTGCCAATCCTTGTATCAACTCCTGCAACAAACGCCACACCTGTAGCAGACAACTTTGCTGATTCCTTGAGAAGCTTGAATTCAAAGAAATACCCAGCAAAAGTTTCATTGAAGATCGACCATTCCCTGCTTTTCACCATCAGCCTCGGCATCAACCCTTGCTCTACCTGTGTCAATGGCAACCGCATGGTGGCAGACATCAACATCTCCTTTGACATGCCCAGAGTTTCTCTACTCCAGGCTCATTTCTTCAACATTCAGATGATTTTCCCGGAAAACCTCTGAAACCATACAATTACACAGGGACTCAACCTGCGAACTTGCAGACCATGGGCGGCACCAAGCTATACAGACTCGCTTATAACTCCACCGTAGAGCTGGCGCTCCAAGATACAGGGATGCCAGAAAAGTTGAAGAGAAGAACCCAAGTTCGCAAGTGGTCTACCTTGGTGTTTGATATTTCCTTTATCAATACATTTCTAAGCTGCTCAGTCTCCTATAAATCATGAACATGAAGCAGTTGCACAATTGTATTAGTAGAAAAGGAGAGAGAAGATTTTCCTATAGTTTTAACGTTCCTTGCTCTGATAAATCTAAGAGCAAACTTTCATTATGTAGAGAGCAATTTTCATTATGCAAAACATGATAAAAGATTAACTTAATTAAACAACGTTGTTGTACCTCAAGTATCCAACCGTCAACAACAAACACGTCCAAGGAGTACCCATCTGTGGTGGAAAAAGCATGTGCCCCTTGAATGTTCAATTCAATCTCAGACAAAAGGAAGTCAACTGACAAATCCAAACAAAAAAAAAAACATTAGATATTGACTAGTTCAAGACCTCATATCCCAAGTCTGAAATCAAATTAATAAGAGACTATACACCATTCGCCATATAAAACACACAACTATATCCAAACCAAAGCTTGCTACTGTTTACTAATATAGAATATTAAAGAAATGGTAAATTAGGCCAAAGGGTATAAGAATAAATTACTGCCTTGTAATTAGTTGTCTAATTCTTTTTCCATCCTAAAAAATCTGTATATATAGGGATTTAACATTCAATAAAATATACATCAAACAATTGTTAACATATATCAGAATTCTGAATTAAAGAAACTCTAAATTCTTTTATAAATTTTATTTGGCCTTCAATGCCAAAATAGAAAAAAAGAAAAAACTAAAAGTGTTAGATCAGCCTTCATAACCGGTCACCACAGCCAACCACCTCTGTCAGCCTGACCACCAGTAACAGCCAAACAGACCTTCATTATTGGCGCTAGAGTCTTTAGTTGTGCATCCAGTCACGTGCGTTTCTATCCAATAGCATTTTCTATCCAGTTGTGCGCCTTCCCTCTACTGCAGCTGCTACCCCTGCTGACCTTCATCACCGGCAGCAACCAGAGGAAGTATAGCCACCAGAAGCAACCTTCTCTAAAGTCGCACAATGTCCAAACATGAGTGCGACCCAGACACAACATTCTCTTTTCCGTCTTGCTGCTCAAACGCAATTGCAACCTTGATGCAACTGCACCACCAAATGCGAGACACAAATCATGGTGTCAAACAACCACTCACTCCTCTATGCCACTCTCTACGTGCATCTCAACTCTCATTTCTTCTTTCTATGCCACTCTCTACTCTTGCAACCAAGTTCAAACCTGCATCAGGTCTGTTAGAGCCTGCATCGATCACCTGCATCAGCAACCAGGTCTATCTGAGCCTCTCCAACAACCTCTAACAACAGCCTCTCTGCATCAGTTGGACCTTCCCACTCCAGAATCATTCCTATGCAGCTGTGTGCTCCACACCATCGGCCACAGTCTGCCCAGTGACACCATTATTCCAGCTGTCAGCTTTAACTCCAATTTCACCCAGCTTGTTTTCGTACTATCGGTTCATAAATGTTGGAGGTTAAGTCTCTCCATAGGTTCACATTTCAATATGAGGAACACCAACGAATTTCAGCCAATCCAAGCTGTCTACCGCTTCATGAGGAAAGATTACCTAAATTGGTCCCAATTATTTCAGACCACCCTTGAGGGAGAGGGGAGAGAGGGGATACTCGATTATCTTCAAATCCAAGAGACCCATATTTGATACATGCAATGAAGATGATTCTATGATCATGGTATAGATCTGGAACTCCATGACTCCAGAAATTAGTAACACCATGATGTTTCTACCTGTAGCAAAAGCAGTGCGGAATGCAATTGACAAAACCTACTCCAAAGTCAAAGACGCTACATAGATTTATTACATGTTAGTAAATATTCTAACATGCTAAAAATCTGGTAGGAGGAACTGGACTAATATCATAGTCTAACCATGGATTGGAGTAAAGATGCAACTTATCTTAAAAAGTTTATAGAAAAAGATCATACATATCAATTTATGGCAGGATTAAGTCTTTAATATGATCAACTCTGAGTACAAAGCATAGGAAAAGAGGAAATATCGTTACTCAATGAGGTAATTTTCCATCAGAACAACGAAAGAAGCAGAAAAGAGGTCATCTTAGAACCTTATTCCACTGATACTTCAACCTTGATTTCACGAGGTTCCAAACCTTGCCAGCAAACAAAGTGAGCAACTCTGAGATCTCAATTCTGGAAGCGGTAATATGATTAATCTTTAGTGTATTTTTTACAAAAAGTGAAGAGACACCAAAGAGAAGTATTGAAAATTGCACAGTAAGCTTAGTACCTCCAGCAAAGAGTGGAGATACAAAACACCCAGACAGAAAATTCTTTACAGGTGAATATGTCAACCAACAGAAAGAAAAAACACCTGCTGACCTCACTGCTTTCAAAGATGAGATTAAACGACTGCCAAGTCGACTTTAGGTCCTCGAGAAGTCCATAGGTACAAACACTCTGATATGCTTTCATTTCTACACAGTTTAAATGCCTCAAATAAACTCTTTGAGAATTTTTGACTTGTAGAATCATGAGTTACAGATCAGGTGACAAATACTTCTAAATACTTTCATAAATATGTTTCCTGTCGAAATAATAAGAAAATTGTTATTGCAGATGGTTGACTCAATACTATTGCAAGCAATGACAACATTAAGATTAGTTCTACCTTTGTCTTAGAAAATATTTACATATTCCTAAACTGTCTACTAATCTTGTGTCGGTCAATAATATATCACAAGATTTGAACTGTAAAATAATATTTGACTTTTCTACTGTCATTTTTAGGACCAGAATTCAAAAAGATGATTGGACCTTGCTGAAACCAGAAAAGAATTTTACTATTTGAATGCACTTGGGGGATTTTTCTTTACTGTTATTACTGACCTCACACACAAAATTTGGGTCCATCATAAAAGACGTGGACATCCATTCTTTTCCATCTTCAAGATTATGTTTTCCTTATTATTTAAGAATTTAAACATAAATTTATATTATAATATCTGAGTTTAGAAAACATAATCGTGTAAGATTTCTTATCAATAATAAAAGAAATTTACTTCCACTTTGATTAATCAACAAAGATATTTGGGGATCAACTCATACACCTAATATTTCTAGACCCAAGCATCTTTACCACACAACCTAACACCATTACCACAAAAAAAATTTCAGAATCCACCAAAAAATTTATCCATTCAAGAGATCCTATTAGACCCTAGATTTTTTCAAGTGTATGCAAGGAGAAAGATGTCAAGTACTTAGCCCAAGCCGATCCAAGAATCCAACATTGATCTCGGAATTGATGTAAGTCCCAAAAAACCTACACATTCTAATAATGAGATACCTATTGCACTTCGTAAAAGTACAAAAGAATGTACTAACTACCTCATTTACATTATTTCATAATTTGTGTCATTTGCTAAGTGTTCAATGCCCCATAAAAATTCCTTCACAAGTTTGAAAATTGAGTATATTCTTAGTGCAGCATCTAATGCATTATTTGGTGAAAAATGAAAAAATATTATAAGTACGGAAATATACGCTCTCGAAAAAAAATAAAATATAAAATGATTAGATGTACTCAAATATAGAACCCGGCGAATGCAAATAGGTCTTTACATCAAATATAGACAATGAGACATCAGAGATATAAAGTAATATTAGTGGCAAAGGACTATACACAACCCATATGGAATAAACTATCAGAAGACATTCATATTAGTAGTCAAGATGAACACTATGCAAATGTTATTATTATTAGCTACTTATTTTGATTGGCAACTATACACAGCCATCTAATAAGGTATGCAAATTGAAGAAAGTACTGTATGGACTCAATCAATCGTTAAGAGAATGGTTTGACAAGTTTGCAAGGGTAATGATAAACTTGAGATTAAAGTAGACTCAAGGAAACCACACGTTGTTCATCAAATACCCAAAGGCAAGGAGAGTTACAACTCTTCTAGTATACATTAATGGTATTATCATAACATGAGATAATGAGAAAGAAAAATTGATATTAAAAATGTGTCTAGCAAAAGAATTCATAATCAAGGAACTATCTAAATCGAAATATTTTTTGAGGATTAAAATTGTTTACTCAAAATTTGGAATCTTTATATCTTAGCATAAATACATTCATAACCTACCGAGAGATACTGGCAAGTTAGCATATTAAACAGTTAGTAATCATATTGATCCCAATTACAAATTAGAATTAGCAAAAAAATATACACCAGTAAATAAGGAAATGTATCAAAGATTAGTTAAGAGATTGATATATCTATCTTCCATGAGACCATTAGTAAGTGTTATAAGTTAATTCTGCACAATTCGAAAGAAATGCACTTACAAGCAGCCTATAGAATATAGCATTGCCCAAATGAGTCACTTGTAAAAGGAATTATATTCATAAAGAGTAATAGACCGCTCTTAGAAGTCTATATAGATGCAGATTATACAAAATTAGTTGCAAGCAAAAGATATGATATTGTACCTTTCTTAGGGGCAATCTACTCATTTGGAGAAATAAGAAACAAAATCTAGTTGCTAGATCAAGTGCAAAATCAAATTCCAAATAATAACATAAGTGATATGTGAATTATTATAGATCAAAAAAAAATTCAAAAGATTTTAGAATCAAGTGAGAAAACTTCATGATGCACATACTATGACAATAAGTCGGTCATAAGTATTGCATATAATTTGGTGCAATATGACTAGACCAAACATATCAAGGTCAATAAACATTTTATCAAAGAAAAACTTAAAAAATAGCTTAATATGTATCTTATATGTGTTTATCAATTCTCACTAGTTAATGTGTTGACTAAAACCTCAAACAATCCAACATTCCAAACTCTTATTGGAAAGTTGGAGATGGACAACATCTACTACCCAGCTTGAGAGGAAGTGTTAAAGAAATGATAAATTAAGTTAAAAAGTATAAGAATAAATCACAACTTATGTAATTAATTGTCTTTTTTTTTTCTATCCTAGAATTCTGTATATATAAAGTTTTAATATTCAACATAACACATATAAAATCATTCTTAATATAGAATAATGTGTTCATTAATTATAACACATGATATTTCATGGGAGAAAACAAGAAACATAACAACTAAAGGACCTCAACTACCTGAGTTTTGAGTTTTGGCTTGTCGGTTGTTGAGATTGTAATTTCATGCATTAGCCTACATAAATGCAAAAATGTCCCAAGTTTAATATACTGAAAATCAACAGAAAGCTCCAGAAAGTTGTAGGGAAGTTTTAACCAATGCTGCCAAAACTGTTGCCCAAAAACTATTTCATTAAAAAAAAAAGCTATAAAGTAAACTAGTTAAGAAAAATTGAGTACATAAAGTGAATAGCACAATAGAGAAGAAATTGAAAAGCAGAATTCAACAAGCTAACCACCACCATCACACAAAATAAACCTCCCATCAAGCCTTCTAACAGATTATGATGTTCAGAAACATAATACATGCTATATCACCCTTTTTAAGGTATAGAGTAGTTTCTGTCAGAAACAGTCTAATATAAATGCAGAACCATAGACAAAATCTATCCCAGAGATATTGGAATTGAGACAATAAAAACTTCCTCATATTTTACCAACAGATCCTTGAAAACTCACTTATGATCGAAGGATCTCCCCAATATTTTCCTTTACTTTCTTGGAGAATATATGAACACTCTTCCCCATGGTTGTTTAATTTATTTTGATTCAAGACCTGTACGTTAATAATCCCATATGTACAACTTTTTAGCTATCTAACAATTAAATATCTATCACATAAAGAGCGACAGATGCAGAGTAAAACAAGGAAGAAACTCACACTCTAAAGAGAACTTTTCAGAAATATTAACTGAGAGAAACATGGACTAGCATTTGGGACAACATCCTTGTTTCAAAGTTTGAATTCTTTGCTGCATATACAAGCTTGAGATCAGGTGAAGAACCAAAGGTAGGTGGAGGATGAATGCTGAAAAAGGGAATAAAAGTTATTGCCAGAAATCAAGCAATTTGTCAAGAAGTGGCAATTTTAACTTAAGAAGTAAGACCAAACAGATATGCACATAGCCATGCCTGCCCTTGTCTGGATTATCTGAACATTGAGCATCTGCTTTCCCTAGAGACCTTAAATGCACTGAACCATCATGATTTCGATCAAAAGGTGAAAATACCTGTATAAAAAAATTCCTAAGATTCATTGGAAAGGACAAACGAGCCAAGCTTACAGTCAACTGCAATCTGGTAATAACGAGATATGCATTGTCTTTTAGGAACGACCATGTAAGTGGAACAAAATTCCCTTCAAAAGAGCGAAAAGCATCTTCAGGAAAGAAAGACAAAATATCTCACAGAATCTCATCAACATAAGCATATAACAGAAATTAGCTCAGCTTACCATGATTGTAGGAAAAATGTGCACGGTGAGTAAATAAAAGTAAAGCATGAAATCTATAGGCATGCATAAAGAGTCCAGAGGCTGATGCTGCAAACTAACAAATGAAAGGACCTCGTTTGTTACCTGTACAGGAAGGAATTCCATGGCGGGCCTGCCAGAGGAATCACGGGCCATATCTAATAACTTTTTGTGCATTAGAACATCTAGTGCTCTCTCCGCATTCACATCAAGTGAGCATCTGAAATTTCACCCCAAAGAATTTTTCTCAGTGGCTTCTTATCGAATCTCCATACATGAAAATCCTCAAGAAACCAAACCGTTTTGACTATTGTGAATATTGACAGTCACCAGTCATGTTTTGGTTGAATGATTGCATTTCATTACCCAGAAAAGGATTGAAATAAAAGAATCTCGTCCAAAACAGTTCCTTGACAGAAACTTAAATAAAGAAGAAGAAGATTATTAACTAGGCAGAAATATTTAACGACAGTGAGATCAAGATAATTGCAACTGGCAAGCTACAAACAAAATAAGCGTAAATTAACACATTATTTATACAAGTAATTGGATAAATTAAAATCCAAGTAGAATATAATGTAAATGTCAAAATTCTCTCAACTGACAATTCAAGAAACTATAGCATGGAATATTTCTTGTTCCATTGTTTTCTTTGCTCTTGACATGAACCAAACTAGTTTTGAGTTCACCGTAAAAAACTAGGGTTGAGCATGAGTGTACCTAGTAGGGAGTTTATGGAAATGAGCCCATAGCTCATCTTCAAAACCAGGAAGGCTTGCCTCTTCAATATTCAGTTCTCTAAGCCTACAGAGAATTTCAATACACACGTCAACCTTTTGCCTCTGTTTTCGGCTCTGGCTTGGCGCAAAGACAACAGCTCTGCTACTGCAACTCTCCGTATCCCCCGTCACTGAAACAGAAAACATAAAAAAATCAACCAAGGAGAAAACCAAAATACTCCTCTCAGATTATAGGAGGCTGATTTGAAGAGACTAAAGCCATGATCGCTGACGAGCAAGTACACATTAAACTAAACGAATGAATACATTAAGCGGTAGCAAGAACGAAGGTGGGGGAAATAGCTTGCTGCTTCCTTTTTCTTGATTTCCTTACTCTTCTCTCTGTCATTCGCTGTATCCGGTAATAATACTCTCCTCAGATTTTGATTATCTTGGAAGTTACAAGAACGTCAAATCAGGGCGTAATGCGCACCCAGAGGCGCGCATCTACGTGGATTCCAACTATGCTTTCTTGTTTTGCTTATGTCACCCAGGGGCGCACATGTGGCATGTGGGACGCCAAATTAGGAAATTAAAAAATAATCTACATAAAATTTCACCGATCACACGATAAATAAACACATTTAAATACAATTAGCTAAAATTAATAAGGAGTGAGAATTTTGCATTTATTTCAAAAGTTTAAGAAATATTTTGAACAAAACAACATAGTCTTAGGAGAATTTTGGATATTTTTATATAGTTTATATGATATTTTAATATTTTAACCGATAAAATTATCATAATAAATTTAATAATTTATTTTAATAATAAAAATATATAACATTTATTAATATGAATTATTAACTGGTATTGATAAAATATTTTTAAAATAATTTTATTATTGAATAATTTTAAAATTTGATTTTGAATCCACACATCTTTGTGGCCGCACCCAAAGAAATAAAAAAACTGAGTTACGGGCTACGAAATTTTTAAAGCCTATCTTCTTCTAATTGAAGAAGACTCAAAAATTAATCTGAGCCGTTGATATTGGAGATTGATCAGTGATTAAGCCACGTACCCTCCTGGGGAAGTCTCACGCGCACCTGCATTTGTGAATTGCAATCGACCAGAGAAGAACAGAAAAATCAATGAAGAAGATCTTATTCCCCTCGTCAATCGGTAAATCAAACGTCAAGACAGAAAGAAAAAATATCAGAGAGTAGAAATCTGTGTCTGCCGTTCACATCTTTTCGCTGTTACCGGAATCATCATGGAAACCCTTAGTTCTCCTGCAACAATCATCTCATCATCATCTTCTTCTCTCTCAGTCTTTTCACCCAAGAGAAAAGACTCGCCAGCAAGACTCGTTCGACTTCATTCTTGTTCGAAAAGTATGATCCTGGTATTAGTTTTCATAATCATCTCAAATCTATTATTCTAATTCCTAAACCGATGTATTTGTGGTTGTTGATTCAGGAAATGATAAAGATTCCGATCTTCAATCAGATTCAAACTGCTCGAGAATCGTTCCTCTTTTTGGCAATCAAACACTTTCGCAGGTGATCTCTATTTTGTTTATACTCTTTGGATAGTTATATCATTGTTCTTGGTTAGGTTTTAAGAGGATATTCGATATTAAGGCGTTTTGTTGTGGTCCTTTTGGGAATCTAAAAAATAGGATGCAGCTATGGGGTTGGTATTAAGTGCTGCGTCTGTGAGAGGATGGACTACGGGGTCTGGGATGGAGGGACCGTCGGTTCCCGCCGGAGCCGAGAATGGATCCAGTACGGAGAGGGTCTCGACGTTCCCCTGGTCCCTTTTCACCAAATCGCCACGTCGGAGAATGCGCGTCGCATTCACTTGCAATGTTTGTGGACAGAGAACAACTCGCGCCATCAATCCCCATGCTTACACTGACGGCACAGTCTTCGTTCAGGTAATTCTCCTGTCCTTCTGTTTGGTTAGCGTGAAACTTGAGTGAAAGCATCGAAAAGCTGTTATGAAATTTTTTTGAGCATTCAGCTAACTGGGAATTGGTTTATTCCCATTTTGGCAGTGCTGTGGATGCAATGTTTTTCACAAGCTGGTGGATAATTTGAACCTGTTTCATGAGATGAAGTGTTACGTGAACCCGAGTTTCAACTACAGGGATCCAAAGTGGGATGTAGGTTTCAAGTTTCTTGACACGGATGATGATAGTAACGATGTCTTTCCGATCTAAAAGGCGTTATATCAGAGACCACTTATACACTGTACATTCTTTTTCCTACTAGAAATGAAGCCTATCTTTATTATTATGTTTGTAAATAGCTTATTGTTATGCGAATGAATTACACGGACTAGTGTAACTAAGATTTCTTTGGATTCTTTTTTAGGTTAATATCCCCTTACGTACGTTGGCCGCTGCCTATTTATAATAAATCCCTGCAAGTGATATTTATATAGTGTTTGTGGATTCCACTTGATGTTCAAAAACTGTAACTGATACCAAGAGCTTTGTGCGTCTGTAATTGGTGTTGCTTTGCTCTTAAGCTTAGGTGCCCCAAGGAAATGGTTTATCCTGATTCCCTGTCTGGAAATGGTTTTCCCAGCGTGAGACAGGTTAAATGGTTTATCCTGATTCCCTTTATATTGTGCTTGTGTATGCATTAATCACATCCTCCGCATATTGCTGTTGATCATATTGTTTGGTGGGAAGGACGTGTTTTTGCTTTGCTTGTTCTAGTCTCGCTCTTTAGTTTAATCTCAACTCTCAAGCGCCTTATAGTGTTTTCGTTCATATGTTTGTCTAAGATGGTCCAGTGTATAGAATAGAGAGAGATGGTATGACACTCCTCTTATGGAACCGACGACTCAAGATCAAGTCGTATCTGCACCTTGTGGTAAAAGAAAAAATTGTGGAATATGTTATTAAGGAGAATATAAGTGGGAATCAAAAGATGGCAATCAATCCAATACTTGGTCATGGGTGGCAGTTTTTCTCATCCTTCCAAGCAGCAGAAAGAAAATGTGGTCTGTTTAAAATTTATGCATACAAGGAACTAGAAATGACAACTGCTGCACAGTTCGCCTGCTTCAACGTTATGTCTGTCTTGATTTTGCAAGGAGTTCTGGTGAATTCGGAAGGGTATGTAATATCTTGTAGATCCTAGGTGATGGCTGTAAAGTCTAGGTGGAAGTACACAGGATCAAAATGCTATGATGGGTCAATGTTGTGATGAATCTAATGGAGGGTTTTGTTTAAAAGATGAGGAGGCACTTTGGATTAGTTTCAAGAATTGCCATGATATATGCCCAAGGAATATATAAATTAAATATTCTGTTATAGTTGATGATTCCTTTATGTCAAGCAGAAGACAGGTATTATAATATGGTGGGGAGAAAACAGAGGTGATTTGGCAATTTCAGAGCGCAAATATGAGGTTAGCAGTGTTGTAGAGCAACGGGTGAAATTGTTGGCAATTTCAGAGCGCGAAGGTGTTCTTCTAGGGTGAATGATTCAGTATCCAAGTTAAGGCTAGGCATTTTCTTTTTCTGATTGGCCCAATATGACCAGTTTCTTACCCTTTTTCCGATCAATATCACCAACCTCCGCACAATGGATATTGCAGCTAGTAGTATTTTTAACCAGAATTCATGACTTACTTAGGTAGCATTTGCAGAAAATGAAAGGATTGAACAACAAAATTGGACTTTGCAAGACAAGACAAAGTTTGAAATATAACCATAATTCAAAGATCAAACCAATAATTTACCCTTAAAATAATAAAACAAATTCATTCAAAGTCTGGCAAGGCAACCGCATATGCCAAACTTACCTGTAAATCACTGACCATTCTTACCCTACCCACCCTTGGTCCAAGACTTCACATTGTTAAACCCAGTAGGTCCAACTTAACGTAAATGATATTTTCTGGGTGAATTCTGATTTGCGAACGCAAATTAAGTTGATGTATTAGTAAATATCGTCTTCAACCTCTATCCTCTTCCACTAATTTGGTTGTATTCTGCACCTCACAAAAGCAAGCCCATTCCACGTCAGGAGACAGCATCGATTCTGACCAATCACGGGAAGCCTCAGCAGATAACTCATTCCTCTTCCCATACGTTATCTCATCGACAATACATGGGCAAATCCAGACCACACGAAAAAATAACCTCACAATCCTAATCTTCGATCTCATCATCCTTAAATCCAACCATGCCCCCATTTTCTCCTGATTCCCTCCGCCATACAATCAATCTTTACTAGAAGTCTAAAACCTTCCGCTTCACAGAGAGAAGAAAGGACTTTGTCATGGCCTCAGTCACCTCAGCGGCTGTTACCATCCCATCATTCACTGGCCTCAAGGCCGGTGCCGTCACAACAAAAGCTAGCGCCTCCGTGAAGGTGTCAGCTGCGGCGGCAGCACCAAGGCTGAGCGTGAAAGCGTCAATGAAGGACTTGGGTGTCGCAGTTGCTGCCACAGCTGCGAGTGTAATGCTGGCTAGCAATGCAATGGCGATTGAGATTTTGCTCGGGGGAGATGATGGGTCATTGGCTTTTGTTCCGAGTGAATTCAGTGTGAGCAAGGGAGAGAAGATTGTGTTCAAGAACAATGCTGGGTTCCCACACAACGTTGTGTTCGACGAGGATGGAATTCCCGGCGGAGTTGATGCTGGCAAGATCTCCATGGCCGAAGAGGATCTGCTTAATGCCGCAGGAGAGACTTTTTCTGTTACCTTAACCGAGCCTGGAGAGTACGCATTCTACTGTGCCCCTCACCAGGGTGCTGGCATGGTAGGAAAGGTCACCGTTTCCTAAGCTTTAACGGTCATTGCGAGCGTCTCTTCCTTTGCTTTTCCTTTCTTAGGGCTCTCCAAGTTTTTTTAATCTTTTGGGAAACCAAATCAAACGTTAATGGGAGACGAGGGAAATGAATGTGGTGAAGTGAGCTAATGTTAATTCGTATCTGGTTCTTCATTTACAACTGGTGCTGTAGGATTTTGTCATGCAAGTCTGTATATTTAGTTCTCTTTGTATTAATAATTTCTCCATCTCCCCAGTTTTTATTCACTCCCAAAATTCTAATTTGGATTCAAGTTTAGAGTTACATGAGACTAACCGATTCGTTAACTTTTTTTTTTTTTTTTGTAAGTGACGGGCAACTTATTTTTTCTTCAAGTAGTCATTAAGAAGAAGAAAATTAGCAACAAGTCCTGAGTTAAGTTAACATGTCATAAAATCTATTAATTTTATGAGCCTTGCATACCCACATTACTCTTTATGGGTTAAGGTTGAGATATTACAATATACTTTACCAGTTGTACATAATGTACACATTACAATGGGAAAGACCCTTGCGTCCTTTCGGTAGGTGTCACCAGACAAATGTTTCTTCTACGAGACAATAATTTGCCCCTCTTTACAATTTGGATGAAATGGAATTCCAATCATCGTTCAGACTGGAGAAACTTAGAGCCTAAGTACTGAGAGCATCAGGAAGGGTTGTGCGAGCTCCTAGTACCTTACCACCAACATCAGGAAATGTTTCAAATCCAGGCAAAGGACTTACTTTGCCACTTTTATCTACCGCTAGTGGGTATTTGAAAAGGTGCCCCTGCAATTTTGAAAAGTCATTGGAGGTGAACTTTTCCCAGTTATCTTCACCGATCCTGTTCACACTCCTTACACAGGCCAAACTTTCAGGCTCCTTGAACAGATCATCCACCATCCCCGTGTGTTCTGCCCACAGTGACATGCGGTACCCGTAAACCTGTAAATGCAAAGAACCCACCTGATCAGACTGCTTCTCAAGAAACAATCCCGGTAGGACTAATGGATCCCCGTGAGTTGATCATGTTTTTTCTTCACTACTTGTGATGGCCCTAGACATGGATAGATGCTAAATGCTCGATCAAAACTAGGGCATGCTAAACTAGCTTCTCACTTTTTGACATCCTATAGAACAACTTTAATGCTTGCAGTATGGTATTTGATCAGATAAACTGGTAGTATGAAATTATGAACCTGGCCACGTGGATGCCTTTTCTTCTGACCCCATGTATGTTGGGGTTGATATGCGCCCATGGCAATCTCTGTGTCTCTTGAACCAGCCAAAGAGCGCTGGTTTATATTGGCTGACCCCAATATAACATATTCATCATCAACTATCATTCCCTTTGCATGCACATAAATCATAAAGCGCTGAAACTTTTGTGAAGCTGAAACCTGAAAATAAATCAGAAAGAAAGACATCCTTTCACCTTTCCAATACTTCTACTGCATTTGGAATAAAACTGAAAGGTCATGGTATTTTGCAATACATATTACTAAAATGAATATCAATAATTAATAACTTACTTCCCACCAATCTGACACTCGAAATAATTTTCATCTCCTAAATATATCAAGTACTTTCGACAAATTTAACCAGCCTTCAACTAAATTGTTCATTAATTCATCCGTCTTTATTTTGGTAACAGGGGACAGAAAACTCTTCAAATCCAGAGTTCTTACATTCCTTGAAACAACTAATTATTAGAATTTTTTCCCTTCCAAAAATAAAATGTAGTGAAACCGTATGAACTAACAAAAGAGAGGGAGGGTGGACAGGCTTCTGTGAGGACTGACCTATACTGAGGGCAAGGTACCACGCTGAAGAAAACTGTGAAAAATACCAACAAGCCACTGCTGGTTTACTTAAGGAGGATCAAGCCTAAAACTGGTAACTGAATTGGAAAAAGGGTAAGTTAGGCTCCTTTGACTCAGCTAGCGGTATCTTCATTTCGAATTCTTGTTATTTCCACTCAGATAGGTGGCATTAAATTCTGTAATTTGTTATGGATTATTTTCTGTTATCGTGCTAGTCATCAGTAGCTAGTGGTAGAAGTGGTGATGTAGTGGTGTTGTAAAGCATATCAGAGAAACATCATAGAAGATCTAACGAGAAAACACTGAACTATCAGTGAATAATTTCCTCTCCTCATTCTCTTATTTCTTCTCTCCTGTATCGCTAGTCTTTCTCTATTCTTCACTCTATCAACCCTAATTTTTTCTCTCTACACAAACACACACCAAACTCACAGTCGGGGTCTATTTCTAAGGCTCCTGGCATTTTCCTTTTATTAGCCTGGGCAGGGAACTAATCTGACTGCAGCCTAGATGGTCTAAGTTCTGTAAGGAAAATAAAGGTGTTTTCTGTCAATTTAGAAGAGGGAAAATGAGAAGGCTGTCAACTCATGCATACCTTGAGTCCAAACTCACGAATCATGTTCTTATAAAAATAGAAAAATGAATAACGAATAGATCAACCCAATAATAAGGAACCTCTCCTTCCAAAGAGGATTACAACTAAAACAAAATGGAAAAATCGTTAAGGATCATTACCACGTCGCTGTTACCAAGTGGTTTGCTAGTTCTACACATTTCTTCTGGAATTTCCTCTCGATTTCCAAGGCAGTAGAAATTTAGATAGTCTTGTGGATGTAAATCCTCGAGATGCATAGCTTTCAGCTCTTGAGCTATTATTTCATACATCATTTGCATTGTTTGTCCCTGGGAAACCAAATTATGCGATATTCAGTGACAAGGTATTGTACATGATCATTCACTTGATTTATCAAATCCTATCTTATAGATTAGACAAGTCATATTGCTGTATAAATAAGACAGACATCTAAGAGAAAATTCCTAGCGCGCTAAGGTGTCAGGATCCTAGATCCTAATTGAGAAAAATAGAAAGGATTTGAAGAAAGAAGTTTGCAGAAAAATTGTAGACAACGAAGTTTGAATTTCATTTCTATTTTTTTGGATGCTAAACAATTACAAAATACAGCTTTTATAGCTGATGATATTACACAGATCAACCTATTTACAACTAATTTTGTGCTAATCTTTTAGTAATTAAAACAAACAACTCATTAATTCTAACAAATTCTAACAATTACAAATTTTAGGTTTGACATGAGGAAGTGGGGAGTTATTTTCAACACACTTGGAACCAGAGAGTATATCTCCAGTTTCTGCACATCCATGGACAGTCTCTACAGGACTTGACATAACAATCAAGTAAGGCTTTCCATTGGCAGAGATCATTCGCCTTATATGACTTTCTTAAGGATCTAAAAGAAGAACATCTAATATTACCTGCCAAAATAGAATTTCTTGCACAGAGGCAGAGGAAGGGACACCTTCAGGCCACATTGGTACAACGATGTAAACTGCAAACCTTTCCTTTGCTCTTATCTTACTAACAATCTTCAATGCCAATTCCATAGGAATTATATTATCAGCGCCTGGTCATAACAAAAGATATATATGAAAAAGATCAGAGGCAAAAGAAAACATGTCAGGCAGATATACTGATCAATGGCATATAACAGCACAGCTTTCACAAAGCAGAAGAACAAGAGTCAGTATGGCCTGTTAGATTTATATCAAATGGAAATAAAAACAATTGTCCTACACTTTGTGAACAGATTATAGGATACTATGGAGTAAGGCAGACGCTTTAGAAAAAAAAAAAAGCAAACTGGAATTTCATTTCCATAGTATTATTGGAAATGGCTTTGGATTCTGAGGCCATACTTGGCCATCTGTGTTCAGAGGAAGAGTTTCCGAAATGCAAATGATATATATAGATAAATAATTTATACAGAAAGGCACATAAGGGTTGCAAAAACCTGCTTCTTTGTAAGCTGGCCATGCATAAGAAGATCCAAGGAAATACTGGTTCTCGATGTATATAAAGTGCTGTGCGGATCTGATTGCTTGGATATATGCTGTTTGAATGCTCTTATCAATCACCAAATTCTTGGCACAAACAAGATTCTGCAACAATAAAAGAAAAAGTCAGGAAAAAAAAAACAGTTAATTTAGCATGAAAAATGAAAAATTGAGAGTTGATAGTATAACACCGGGATACAAGCAGTAAATACAATTGAATAGACTGTGTAATGCTAAATATGTTTGAAGGGATAAAAAAGAAAGGGGAGGAGGGTTAGACCTGTGCTTCAGCTTGAAAAACATCTTTAGGAAATCCTTTCAGAGATCCTGAGTCTATAGATCGGAAAACCTGTCAATTCATAAGAATTAGAAATTGTTAGATCATTCTGGCAGATTAATTATATCAAAGTATCCTTTGATTTAATATTAGAATACCTGAACATGCCAGTTTTCGGGATCATCTTCCTTGGAAACCCATAGTGCCGGATCATCATTTCGAATTGATTGGGAAGGACTAAGTATCCATGAGATTCGTTCCAACTTTATTAAAGCATCGTCATGCCAGTGGGTTACTCTTTTGAATTTCCGTCCGAGCTCTGACCATTTCGTGGCTTTCCTCCAACGCTGCTCGAAGTTTGTAAGAATATCGTATGCAGCAGGACCTTCGACCTTGCAATGCAGATCGTGCCAGGGCTGCCTTGGGCCCTTGGTTCCTGCCTATCAATGAACAAACGCAAAGAAGAATATACTACATCAATAAGTGACACTTTTCTTAGAAGATTTTTTGTGTCAGCTATTTCATTTACGGCTGTACAAAGTTGGGCATCTCAAACCCCCCTCATACCTTGAACTGCGGGGCAGTGGCAATACAGATACCTTTTACCCAGTATAATTGACATTGACAGCACATGCAACAAGGGAAATGACCAAGTAGAGGTAAGGTGAAGTATGGGTAACTGACCAACTACTCAGACAGCATGTCAAGCAGAAAATTGCAGAAGATGACAAAATAATGAGAGGATATGTTACGTATACTTACAGAAAATGTTGGGTTGTGATAATCACTCTCAAACACGGTGTCAAGATCCCGAAAGAGTCGATGTTCGGGTGTATCATAGCGGCCATCACAAAGGTCCAGACCTCCAATAAAAGCAGTAACCTTCCGGTTGTTTCCTGATGCTTGCGTATCTACAAGCACACATTTTTGATGATGTGTAAAGAGAGTTCCAACAACCTGAGACATGCCACAACGAACATTTTTAGCAAACCTGGAGAAGATTCCTCGTCAATCGTATTCCTCCTCATTAGTGCACACGAAGCACACAGGAAAGGGTAATGTGTCGTTTAAATTAGAAAGAGATAAATATGAGCAAGAAGAACTGGACTTAATAGCATAAAAGCATGCCTGTTGCTTGAAAATGCTAAGCTTACTGCTAGCATAACGAGGTGACAGCACGCACGAAACAGAGGAGTGCTTGAAAAACTTGCGGGTTTCTTCGTCATGAGTCTGCATAACTCCTGCCTGCATTTAAAGTGCCCTTGCATATCAAAAACAGAGATAGAATATAAAAAGCCAACAAGCAAGCATAACAGGAAACTACATTAACTTATTTCTTAGTTCAATTGGATTTTATTACAACACAATCACGTAATTCATAATTGATAAACCAGAGTTGCATCCACAGAAACAGATCAACATATATAAAAGGCAAACTTTAGACTGAATCAGAAAAAAGGCAACACATAGGAAACGAGTGACAATGACAGTTGACAGGAGACTTATGATGAGAAATTCGATCTCAAAAGCCGACATCGGTGGTAAAAAAGTATGTAAGTATTCCCTTTTTCTTAACGTTTCCTTCTGAACATCTTTTTTAAGAACCAAGATAAAGAATCACAGAAAGAAGGGCATGTACCGTGTTAATGAAGAATTTACTGTGCGAGGTCTTATCATCCCACACCAACAACAATACCCTGACGCCCTCCTGAGATTTGTACTTGAGTAACTCCCCAAGGGTCAATTTGCCACCACTAGGCAACGGCCTGGTGGGCTCCCTCACCAGCTTGACCTTGTGATAGATTGACCAGCCCACGACGTAGACTAAGTGGTGTGCCTCCAGGATAGCGTGGCAGATATCCTCCCAGCATCTCTCGTGCTTGAACATTCTGCCACCCTCCATGTCAATCTTCGGCAACATCCCTTCCGGCACGTGAGCGTCCTGGTACAACGTCACTGAACCCCCGTGCCTTACCGGAAAATACGAGTCCGCCACCCCGAACTGAACCGGATTCGCCGCAATGCCATACATGTAAAGCGGATTCTTCTCACACGGCGTGAACTTCATTTCCATTCGGACCGCAGCTTCCGGTTTGGGAGGTTTACCATACGGCCCAATTATCGGAAACCAATCGCTGACGGTATCCCCCGATTTGATCTTGGCTGCCGGTACGGTGGCGACTCCGATCAAATCAGCACCGAACATGTCATTATCCTTTACGTAAAACTCAATATGGGAAACGGGATGAGCGAGAGGGATTTTAAAATGTTCGTTCCAGACAGGAGATTGGCAGTTGGAGATGACGCGCGTACGCGCAACCGTAGCGCCTGCCAGGCAAACCGTAACGTAAGGGTCGCTGGTGATTATATTGCGGTGGTGATGGTGGTTTTTCTTGGCGGCGAAGGGGTTGCGGCAGGATTCGAACGCGGTGAAGAAACGACGAATGCGCTCGGATACCAAGTCCATATTGGGAAGACATCGAGCTTCGAGGATGGTGAGATCAAGATCACCATGGAGATATATTAGCGGGGCGGAGTTATCTTCAGCCATCGAGAAAAGAGAAAAGAAAGAGGGGGTGGTGGGTGGAATTGGTAGAGAATGTGAGAGAAACGGTAGAGTGTTAGATAAGAAAGGAACGCCAGGACGGTTGGTTTCGGCGTTAGCTAACAAACCGGAGGAACCGGAGGAGGAGGGTTTTGGGGGGAAGGAAAGGTAGTTCGGTTACTCCGACGAAGCCAACGGCGAAAAACCGAAGGCGGCAAGGGACACGAACAGGAAGAAGGGGAGGGAAATGAAGGAAATAAATAAACAAAACGTATCGTGGGTATTGCTGTTAGTTAAGAGACACGTGTCCGTGCAATGAAGGCTATTGCAGAATGGTACTCCAACCAAATTAAAGGATCGTGGTGCACTCACTGTGGGTCCATGCGGGCGGATTCAGAAAGGAGGATTTACAGCATGTAGAGGTAAAGTTTTTTTTAAGTATCGCCATCATAAACTGGTGGCGGGGAGGCAGCTGCAGCGCGGACACGCAGTTGTATTGTCCACTTGGAGAATTATGTTTACATCCTCTTGAACAAGTAAAAGTTAAAATAATAATAATAATAATAATAACAATTTGAATTTGTCCGTAGATGGGATAGAAGAAACGGATGCCAGTTGAATTTGAGTTGGAGCCGTTATCCCTCTCGCACCATCCGTGCAGAACAAGAAAAGGTTATATATTTTTACAAATCAGGTCAATAGGAGTGGGTGGAATTGAATGGTTCCACCAAAAAGATCGAACAAATTAGAAAGACCAGTTCGATTGAACCCATTTTCGGTTTCTTTTCTTGTTTCCTTCTTTCAGAGAGTCCGAGACCAGAGTTCAAAGTTCGCCTTTCACCACCAAGTGAAGAACATTTGGCTCCCTAGTTAAGCTTTTATTACTTTTCAAGTTTAGATTTCTGGTCTTCCTTCCTACTGACGATGTCATTCCGTTTAAAAGATGAGACGTTTTGGAAGTCCACCCACCACCTTATTTCAAGACAAACTGATATAAGAGTACAATTTTTACAGTCTCTCAAAATATTCCACGTTTGATGGCCAGTTCTTAACTTTATTTGGGGCCCAAAGCTCCGCTGAGTGACAAATACACGACACTAACCCCCCTTTCGTCAACAACAAAACAGTGCAAGTAGATTGTCTAATTGAATACACCACAAGAAACTACTCCCCATTTGATGTTCAAGCCTGTTCTCCCCCTATTTTTACACGTTGACACAATACAAGGACTTTGTTACATGCCATACCCCCTACCTCGCCCCTTCTCTAGCATATTCATATAATGAAATTCTAACGTAACTGATGTTCTTGGATGAGGAGAGGTCTTCCAAATGCTGCATCCTCGTTAGACAATTTCATTAAGATGGATGTCCCCATTAGCAGCCTCATAAACACCATTCTATACATGCATTGGATAGACTGGTTGAAAACTTTGGCTAGGAAAGAAGCAGAAAAGCTTTAATTGACAGTTCTACAACTCAGATCTGCAAGAAGAAAAAATATATATATATCTATGCCTCCATGCAGCTGCTATTGTTCATGTGTTGGTTTGAAATAGGAGGAGCCATCCTTATCATGACACTCTGAAGAAAAGCTATCATCTAAACAAGAAGAATTACCCAGTCAGTAGTAATCAACATCAAAGATTATGTATGAGCAGCAGAATATGAAGATAATGGAGTTCTTAGATAGGAACAGATTAACTACAGTAGGTATGAATAGACCGGAGGCCCCAATACTCTGCCTTTTGTATGCTACCTCTCACTGTTGACCACATGCACTCGCAATAATATGGCCGTACTCATGCCAGGAAATGCTTAATTACACATGCAAAGGACAAACTACAACGCACTGGATTTGCAGCTAAACTGAATCTCTTGCTTTTCTCTGCTAGCAGAGTTGTCTAGTTAAATAATAATAATTCAAAAAAAAAAAAATTTCCTCAAATTACTTAATCTTGAGGTTTGGACCCCTTACTGAATTAATGAATAGAAAGCAAAGCTTTCCCATGAATCCTGTGCAAACCTCTCCTATTTAATATCCAGAAGTATTGTTATCTTCATGTAACTAAACAAGTGCCCTAACAGATTAATCTCATCACATATACAGCATTCAAGTTTTTATCATTATGTAAAAAATTCTTACCGAAGCAAACCCGATGCACATGATACTGAAACCAGGGAAGTAGAATGGTGCTCTTTCAGACAAGAATAGAGCTGGAAAAAAAATATTTCATTACTCCATGAATTGTACAAAAAGGTGCAGAAATTATCTGCAAATCCACATTTGTGCACACTTAAACTTATATACATACTTGAGGAACATGTTATAATTAGAATAATTCCAAACTATGAATTTCACTTTCAAAAGAATTCTATATGCAACTAAGCAAGCATTTAAATTTTGTAAAATTTGGTACAATTTAGAAACACATTTTAGATTTCAGAGAAAAGAAAAACTTGAAATGAGTCAGTATTTTTTGTTTGTATTTCAAGTGTGCTATGGATCACATGAATTCTAAAAATATTCTAGAATGCCATGGCTCATTTCAAACATGAAAATTCATTTTTAAATTAACTCAATGTTCAATTCATTTACATTTGAACTAGATATTCATGGTTCATTTCTTCCATACGGTCTTAATCAACAATTGGCCCAGAATATACTAAATCAAATATCCCATCACCTGTTAGAGGAGAGAATGCCAAGGGAGAAATAACATTGGCAAACGAGCATACGCCTGAAATGAACCCTTGAGCCCTCCCCTAAAAATGTGTGAGAGAGAGAGAGAGAGAGAGAAAGAAAGTAATCAGCCTTAACTAAAGAAGAACTCCCAACAATAGCCGTTGTCCGGAATAGGCAAATTTAGGAATGTGTCACATGATTAAAAAACATGCAGATATTGGTTTTCAAGAGTTTTTACAATTTGGCATGCATTCTGTCCAGTTAGTTTCTTTTTCTAAAAGTTTCAATTTATTATCTTCACACTCCAGCTTTATCTGGCAGTATTCTCAATTATGTATTTAAGTTGAAATTTCTTTTTCACCTGGCTGGTCCTAAATTCATTTTGTCTGACTACAAACAAATAATATGCATAACAATTTAAGAAAATTTAAAACAGCCTAATTTGGCTCATGATACTGTCGGGTTGAAATCAGAGTACCTGCTCAAAGGAACCAACTTGTTTAGATACTATGCTCCTTATCTGTACATATTAAAGACTTTGTCAAAAAAAAAAAAAAAAAAAAAACCAAATATTTAAAGAGAGTAAAAATAAAGAAAATAACTTACACATGGATGTGAGAATACGTAGAAAACTGAAAACATGGCAGCCACATAAGGAACCTGCCACCTTAAAGTTTTAGTGAAACTAAGGCAACATAAATTTTCTAAAAGATGCAGTGAAAGAGTATAGGATTTTGTAAAATGATGCTCTACGTTGAAACCAATGAAAGTGATTCATCCAATAACAAAGAATACTTTTCCCATTGCTACTTAGGCCAGGAAGAATTACCCAAAAGGACCAGGCAATGCTGTAGAGAAACATCTGCATATCCAAGATATTAAATTAATAAATGTTAGAGGTAGTTATACCATATTACAAGATCTAAAGCATTAAAAAACATGAAAAATGATTATAGTAACAATTTTCATTTTCTACAGAAATGGTATTAATGCCACAAGTCCGTAAGAATTAATGTGCTCAACAACCAATCGGCCCAAATGATGGTCAGACCATGCTGCTTACGTGTGCACAGCTGAAAAAGAGTCCTATTGCAAGCAGCCTATCTTCTCCCAATGCAGGAGCCAGTAAGGGCATGAGAAGCAGCTGTGTAATTGTTTTAAGTTTCAGATCAAACCACACCAAGTTGAGGATATACAAAAAGCAATTTGCGAGAAGAATAATAGAAGAGATCATAATAACAGCAAAGTGAAACAGCACAAACTCACCTGTGAAATAGTCCCTGCAATCCCAGAAATGACCATTAAGTCAGCAAAATGATCCTTGTTGAAGTGAAATCTGGCCTTTAGATAGTACTGCAGGAAATAGTGAATCCAATTTGATCCATCTTTCTATAACAAATCACATGCTAGTAACATATGGTTTGTCACAATGAATCAGCTAACCACCTTTTTCATTATTTTCCTTTCTTTTCTGGTTTAAAAAAAAAAAATGAATCATTTAAAGTATTGAAAAAGCTTAAGAAAATAAAAGAGTTACCAACAGAACTTGTTCTTCCCCTGTTTACTTAAGCAAAGCTAGTTGTAATTAGATGAAATTATAATAGTTTGAATACATGTGAACAGCAAGTAGCTCTCTTGTGGGGAAATCAGCTACTTATGTACCCAATGGAAAAAATTCATCCCACCAAGTTTGTTTCAGACCAAATTCCTGTTAGGAAGATATTTGAAGGGAAAATGATGAATTTTTAGACAGTTTAAAACCTATGGGCCCTCTTCTAAAGCTAGTTATTCATATATTTAAGTCATTCAATGGAGTCGGTGCATGTTAACATAATAACACAAACAGAGTGCTTGGCAGAAACTGATACTGTATATTCTGAAATAACAATAGCATATTCATCCAAACAAGCAGCAAGATTGAGCATAGCTTTACCAGCTAACTCTTTCGAAGATGATGATAATTATGAATTCGCCTGATCCAATATAGATAAAAAAAAAATAGCATGCAGTTCAAAAGCAAGATTATAGCTAGTCATGTATTATAACGAAAACAGCCCTAATCAATTATTGAAGCCAAGTCTATTCCGCCATATATAAAAGCTTAGAGAAGAACTAGTGACTGATAATCTTGAAAGCAAATACGGAATGAGCATGAATATTAAGAGAGATACCATCAATGAAGCGTGGAGACCAACATCTGCAAGACTGCTGAAAAATGAAACAATCGCTGCTTGCGAAAACGTCACGCTGCGAAATTGAGTCCAATAAGTATTTCAGAAAAAGGAAATAGTTCTTCGAAAACAAAGCAAAGCAATATATGTTCGTCGAGAGCAAAACGAAGGACATTGTACAGCACGAGAGTAGTTTCCTCTAACTTCTGCCTAGCTTACACTCGAGAGGAATAAATAAAAGGAAAGGTAAATTCACAGACCTGCTCTTCAACAAGGTGAGCACATCTCCAAGAGAAGGCATTGTCTTAAAAACTTCCATTTTCTTAGGAGAACCTTCGATTGGCTGTGTAACATTCACTTTTTCGTTTGACATAATGGGAGTAGAAAGATTATCGTGGATTACCGAATCGGGAAGGAAAAGCCTCATGTACACCGTTGATACAATCGCCATTGATGCGGCAACCTGAAATACAATAGGAAAAAAAGACAGTCGAACATCACTGTATAGAAGAAAGTGGCAGGGGAGAGAGGGAGACCTGAAACGTGGCAGGGGTGGAGAGGAATCGAGTAGAAAGAGTGCCGCAGACAAAGGCACAGGATGCGATCCCTGATAATATCCCAAATGCGGAAGCTCGTCGGGCTTCGGGAACATTGTCAGCCTGCAATTCAACTTGGGTTTAGAAAATAGAGAAGCGGGAACCGCAGGTGTGAGTAGGGGAAAGGAGACGAGCAAGAAGAGTCGGGAGGAGAGGACGAGAGCGAGGTGTGTGATTCGGGCTAAACATGCACAAGGCTATAAATAGGGTCGTAGAAAAATGGGCCCATAAAGAGAGCAGAAGACCTGAATGAAGGAAGAAGGATTTACCACATAAGCAAGAGAAAGACAGTGGACAGATCCTTCACAAACCATAGCAGTCAATGTCTTGAGAACGTAGTAGCCATAAAAGAAACTTCTTGTTCTGCTGTATGCCAGTGTTGCTGCATCAACACATTAACATTTAATTACTACACAATCATATGATTGGCAAAGAAAGTGAAGATGACTGGTATATTTTTATCGTAGTACTTGAAAAAAGGTAAGAGTAATAATGAAAATATTATTACCCAAGGGAAGTATGGTAAGGGTGATTGGCAGCGTAAGCAAAGCTTTTCTTCCATACTTGTCCGATAGATTCCCGATCAAAGGCATCATCACGAGCGTCCCCATCCCACTAATCTGCAGTGCAGCCAAAATTAGTATCCTGGTAATCAATGTCAGACGAGTTGACTATTGGAGGTTGAGTACTATTTTCACTTCACATTTTGCATCATAAAATAGGTAGAATATAATGTTTTAATTTATTTTACAAAATATAATAGGAAATTACTGCGTGTTAATCGTGTTCAACAACAATGTTTAAGGTCTAAGCATCCCATCTGGAGTATAATGTACCACTCTTCGGCCATCCCAGATAGAAAAAGACTCTTTAATATAGGTGTAAGCATCCAAATTACATTTCCTAACAACCCACAAAAAAAAAAGAACTAAAAGAAAGAAATACTTGTTTTACAAAACATAAATCCCTAAAAGTAGCCAAATTCAGAATTTAGATGGGAGGTTAAGAGTAGGGCTTTGTGGACTATCTGAGAATCACCTTTCTTAATTAAGTGCTGAAATCCCATATTCTTGAAGGATTAAGCCACTTTCCAATCATAGGCGATATGTATATATATATATATATGCATCTGTAATTGCTGTTACTAATCAAGTATATTAGATACTTAGAGATGAATTATATAACATGGGCGGGCCAATCTTTGATTACAGATGTCAAGTCATTATCCTTTTTTTGTGGATTGAAGTCTAAGCTTGTTTGAAGAGTAAGGCTTTGAATTCTAAACGTGCACTCAACGACAGGAAGGTTTCAGAAAAAACAAAACAGTATTTAAGAAATAACAATTTCCACCAAATTTCCTCCTTGGCATTTACCCTTCTGGACTCATGCTCGCGACCAAAAACAATTTTTTAAGTGAAAGTGAAGAGAAATTTCGTTTTACCAGGGGAGCAGTATTGTATACATTTGTCTTTTTCCTAGCTAATAATTTCCTTTTCTATAATCTCTATACTACAATAACACATGTATACATACACGTTCTTGTATTTATACTAATAAATGCCACTATTATACACACCCCATGTACACTAATAGATACGTACATTTCTTCCTTTGAAGAAAAGATGCGTACATTTCATGTCAGCCCGAAAGATGGGTATACATAAAATTTATTTTTACTGTTGAAAATAATTATTGGGTGTGATCAGAACTTGCCACTTAAAGTTTCAACTCTGATAGGATAGAACTTCGCCGATTCAAACATGTTTTGAACTGATCTTTGTTAACGAATATGCATGTATATTTAGTATCTTAAGCATCGTATAGTTCTCTCCCGTCCCCCACCCCCCAGAAAAAAAAGAAGCAAATGTATACGTATGCATACATGTATTCATATAATTTCGAGCAACCCCAAAAATAATTAATACAAGGATGATCAGAAGATCGAACAAGACTAGCACATGCTTGAGAATTAAGTATGCAGGAAGCTTAACATACAGTCATGATGAAGATCAATAAATGGAAAAAGAAAAGAAAACTAAAATAGGGTTTAGAATGTACGAGCAGTGTGAAGCAAGAAAATGCATGGAATTTCGAAAATGAATTAGATGCATACACACATATAAATACATGCATGGACATATATATATATATATATACACGTTTGTGTATAGAGAGAGAGGGAGAAAGAAGAGAGAAGGGGGATAAAAGAATGAACAATACCGCTTGTTGAAAGCCGGTGAGGTAAATAGCAAAGGAGCACTCATCAGCTCCTGGACAAAGCGCAGACATGGTGACATCTGTAATGGCTGGAATCACCATAAACACCGCGAAGTTATGCAGGAAGATTGTCATGAAGAGGTGGCTCAGCCCCCAAAACAATGTCTTCTCCATATCACCCACCAACTTCACTATCTTAACTTTGAGATCAGATGTTGGTTCTCCAAGGAGGCGATGAGTCCAGTGTCCAACTCAACCATGAAATTTATAAGTGCAGAGGTAAAACAATTTCAAACAGGATGTTGACCATACACGTGTCAAATAATGGGTCCCACCCCAAAATTATAGTTAGCTTAGTTTGCATGTAAAGGGCCGAAAAGTCCAAAAGTTTAAGAGCCCCGTGAAATTACGTATTGAAGCGTGCAAGGCTTCATAGTTTGTTTGGGTCGCATTACGTTTTAATATCTTGTACGTTACACAACTTAATTTTTTTAATTAATTAAGTAAAAAGCAAAATTTAAGATTCTAATTGAACCTAAACTGCACAAAGCTGAGAGTTTAATTAGGGTTGGGCCTTAGCATATAATATACATATATATATATATGTATATAATAATTTTGTACCAGCGATTATTAAATGGTCTTACAGTTTTGGGCACGATTAAATATATCATGATTCCTAGTCAACAGCTGGTGTGTTCTTACAAGCTTTATGTCTTTAATTGGCTGCCCAAATTAATATGACTCTCATTACTATTTACACGTTAAAAAAAATAGTTACGATTAATTAATACAGGTAAATAGTTATAATAGTAAAAATAATTGAATTATATGTACCGTGCATCAGTATTTATAAACTCTGGTATACTAAATAATTTAGACAAATATGTATATAATTATAAAAAAATTAACAATTTTTTTATTTTAAAGATGATACAATTATTTAATTTGAAAACTGGTGTAATATCTGGATTCGAAATTTGGCTCGGGATTAATTTTAATATTAAAAAAATGTATAAAAATAAATTTAATTTAATGTAGAATTATGAAAAATAAATAAATTGAGGATAAATTTGAAAATAATTTTAGAAAAAATGAATGAAATTTTGGGTTTGGATTGTGTTTTTAAAGAAAATTAAAAAATTGGGAGTCAGAAAGTAATTAAAAAAAATTACACCACGTAGGACTGCTCAGTCAGTAGCCCCGACGAATCGGAGCATGTCACGTGGTAAGGCACGCTGATTTGGTGCCACGCAGTAAACCATGTTGGCGATCTGCGTACCTCGCGATCGGACAGTTCGAAAGTGTTCCCGCGTGCTTGAACGGTTCGGATCTGTTCCCTCCTCAGGCCTGATCAGACGGTCACGATTAAACACAATGAACAATCTAGATTCGTTCATTTTTTAAACGCAATCGGACGGTCGAGATCAAATTGCGATGAACGGTCTAGTTTTATTTTCTCATTAAACGCGATCGGACAGTCGAGATCAAACGCGATGAACGGTCCAGATTTACACGAGACAAGTATAAATATTTTGCATTACACCGAAACTCTAGCTGTCAGTCTCCTGCCGGAGAAGAAGAACCAGTCCCCAAAGAAGGGAGCCAACCGCAGTCCCCCCGCCGCGCCGGAGCTACCTCCGACTGCCAAAAAAAGTAAAAATTCTCATATTCGCTTGAAATTTGATTCCGAGCATCCCCATAGCCAAATCAGAGCAAAAATGACAGCGGGTGAGTAAAAAATCGCGAGTAAAGCCCGGCGGCACCGCCACGGACAAAACCCGAAACCTTCTCCGATGAGTCTCTTCTTATTTTTTGTTTCGTACAATTTTTTCACCAATGTTCACCGTTCTGTTTTCTACAGGTTAAGCAAAGAAAAACGTCCAGCCGCAAATGTGAGCCGATGGAATCACCGCACCAAAAAATTCCATCGTCGGTAGATTTCTGTTTTTTGACTTTTTTTTGCCAACCAATGCCCCATAACGTGTTTTCTCGCAGGGATATGTATAAAATCGGTCAAAATTAGTCAAAACTGACCAAAAACGACCAGACCGAGGTAAACCACCGTCGCGGGCGGCTGTGCCGTCATTGGAGCACGGCGGTGTTGCTATGCCGGAATTCTGAAATTGGTCGGGCAAGAGTTTTTAATATCAATTTTGGATTTTTTGGGTATTTTTAGATACGTGAATCATGTTTTAATATCCACAAAAAATTTCAGGAAACTCAGAGACCGCTAGTAGGTGTAATATAAAGTTCGGTATTTCGGGCACTGATTTAGGTAAAAATTTATCATTTTATTCTATGTTATGGAATTGAAGCTTAATAAATGATAATATGGTATTTTGTGTAAATTATAAACATTTGAGAATAATTATAGGTTATTAAGGGAGCTGAAACTGTTTAGTTATTTATTGTCATATTTAACTGATTATTGAATTTATAGCTTCAAATACATAATGATATACTAGAATGGTTAATTGATTCAATTGTATTTCTTTGATATATATATATATATATATATTGTCTGTCTTGCGTGATTTACAGTTGATTTGTGAAATTAGTAATTAACATGCAAACGTGAAATTATTTGATCATGTGAATTAATGAATGGTAGTCTTATCGGATATCTTAGGAGATGGTGAACGGACCGGGTACATAGAAAATCCTACCGTGAACGTTATTTCATACCGGACAGGATATCGAGAAATAGTATTTTTGATGCTCATACTGGACGGAATATGGGGACGGCCCGATTCATCCTCATACTAGACGAAGTATTGATGGATGATATTTTTGACACTCATACCATACGAGATATGAGAACGACTGATTAGTTGACAATATTAAATATTGGTTCACGTATAGTGAGATATCTTTATGGGCTCCCAAAGATACCATTAGTCAAATAAAAAAGGAAAGTAATTGTTATTACTCACTTAAAAATGAAATTAAAATGTTATTTGAATTATTGTATATCTATATGTCGATTTTGGAAATCTCGCAATAGTAAATATATGTGATAAATAGTTTTTTTTTCTTATAATAAATGAATTTCCTTAAATCAAGAGCTTCATTTATTGTTTTTATAATTTTTACCAATATTCAGTTTCTGTATCGTTTAGTAGTCTGATATTCTTACTGGGTTAGTGTAACTCACTATTTCATGAACTATTTCATATCAAGAGAACCAAGATCCAGATCCTGATCAACAAGAGAGTTGTGAATAGTTCACCACCCGAATTCCCTTCAAAATCTAGTGAAAGTCGTTATAGAATGCTCAGTATATTGTTTCTTATTTATTTATTTGATTTTCGTTTGTTTATTTTATAATAGACATTACCGTAATTCTATTGAGTATTATAAATTATTCTGTAAGAAATGTGAACTCTAAATTTTAGTTTTTCGCTCTCGCATTTAATTTATGATTTTATTTTTTTGTTAAGTTCCGAATTTTTACAGTTGGTATTTTAATATCTAATAAAATATTATTTGTCTAGTAAAATTATTAAAAAAATTTAATATACATGTAAATTTTAGTTGAAATAAGCATTGATTTAAAAATAAATTTGTCAATAATTTTAAAATATTTAATACATCATTGGTAAAATTCATAAAAAGTAGTAAATTAAATTATATAATATTTTTTTTGCTTCAAATTTAATTTCTTAAATTTTGTTATTTTAAAATATTTTTATGAAAAATTAATCTCATTATTAATTGTATTAATTTATACATAAAAGTTACGTAATTATAAAAGAAAAGGTGGAAATTAAAAAAGCAGCAGATATTTTCAGATCCAAAGATGGAAAAAGCATCTCCTTTATTGGTCGGCAAAAGTGAAAGCTGCACTCTGAAAGAAACTTCCACGTGATCCCTCCCCATCTTCCCTTTCTCCATCCTATTCCCTATATACGTACGTACATACATACATACATATTTATATTATGATAAATTAAAAGTTACGTTGGATTTTAATATTACTTAATTACTTTAATCATTCTAAAAGTTAAACCCAATTTAATTATTAAAGTTCTAATATCCTTTTTAAAAACATACTTTCTAATAACATTTACTTTTTCGTTTTCTTTGATATCATCGATCCCATGCAATCTTATCAACAACATGATGAATGTATTAAGGAGAAAAAAGAAATCAAATAAAAGTAATGTAATGTTTTATTAGGGTTTAATTATGAAGTAGATAAATTAAATATAACCCAGTTATAAAAGTTCTTAAAATTGCAAGAATCTAAAATTTTTATACAGTAAAAAGGTAATAAATTTATGATAAACTGAGACATTTGAGAAAAAAAGTTGATGAATTACCAACTTGGTAGTATAGAAAATTAGTAAATATGCCTAGAATATGGGCATCATCAGCAGCCACAGTATTGTATGTATGTATGTATGTATGTATGTATGTATGCATGTGTGTGTGTGTGTGTGTATTATATATATTATATATGGGTGGAGAAGGGGTAGGTTGGTTGCATATTATTGTTTGATCATGTGTTGTTGTCTTTTATTCTGTCGATTTCCCACTGTTGTATGCAGGGGAGAGCAATTCCCCAAGGGACCAAAAGGAAAACATCCAGTTGTTAAAAGAAGAACAACTCAGCTTCTGCCTTATAAAATTTCATTTCAAGAACCTCCCCATATATCTATCTATATATATATATATATATCCATTTTTTTCCTTTGTGAAAAAACAATATAAGCCCATTATCATGCGATTGAAAACATCTTCAAATATATATATATATATATATGGATTACTCAATTCTTACATGTTTAAAGCAAATTAATTAGAATATATATAATATATATATGGAATACGGTAATAGTATGTTTAATGGATGGGATCTCATCATCTCGGCGGTACAGGGTGGGATTCCGGTCATAATCAGATGCGAACGAGCCCACAATATGATTTGCATATTACGTATGAAAAGCTACAGATTAAAGAATCTCAGACCATGAGTCAAGATATGTGAAAATTTACAGGCCAACCAGATCTGATCCAATGGCATCTTGCCACGTCGTGAAGGAGACTGGAGGAAATATTAGGTACACAACAGGAGCAGGTCCCCCATAGCTGAGATCTTCGTAGTTTTAGAGGCAGCATTCATTGTGTGCGAGGTATCTCCCACCGTAGGTATAAGCCAGCAGGCTCACTATATATATATATATTATATAAATCTAATTGGTTTAAATAAAATATATGTATTTTAGCAGTAAATATTTAATAATTTGTGTATTTAAAAAATAAAGGAAATATTGTAATAATAAAAGTTGGGGGGGTGAAATTTATGTCCTAATTTACCCTTGTAGTTAAGGCCAATTTCAAGGTTTTTAAAAGGGTAAAACAGTAATTGTGTAACAATTTTAAAGTTCCAAGTCGCAACAGCACCACACGTTTCTTTCCTTATTTCCACGTGGTCGTGCATAGACCCTGTATCACGCGATTAGCGCGTGCATACTTCTGCCACTTACAAATTAAAACCACTTAACACGACGCTCCTAATCTCCTTATTGTAACGGGATAATTGACGGAGCCGTCAGTGCTCCGTTTCCTCTCTCTCTTCTACATATATTCCCATTTCTCTGTATCTCTCTCTCTCACAGACACACTCACCCATGGATGCTGTTGCTCTCTTCTGCACTGGGGCTCTCCTGGCCGTGGGGCTCTACTGGTTCGTCTGCATTCTGGGCCCGGCCGAGGTAAAAGGCAAGCGCGCCGTCGATCTCTCCGGCGGCTCTATCTCCGCCGAGAAAGTCCGAGATAACTACAAGCAATACTGGTCCTTCTTTCGTCGCCCGAAGGAGATTGAAACCACCGAGAAGGTCCCCGCCTTCGTTGACACTTTCTACAACTTGGTTACCGATATATATGAGTGGGGTTGGGGCCAGTCCTTTCACTTTTCGCCCTCCATCCCGGGCAAGTCGCATCGGGAGGCAACGCGTTTCCACGAGGAGATGGCCGTCGATCTGATCGAGGTCAAGCCCGGAGATCGAATTCTTGACGTAGGATGTGGAGTGGGAGGGCCCATGCGTGCCATAGCGGCCCACTCGCGGGCGAAAGTGGTGGGAATCACAATCAACGAGTACCAGGTGAATCGTGCGCGGCTCCACAACAAGAAAGCTGGCCTGGATTCGCTGTGCGAGGTGGTTTGTGGGAATTTTCTCGAAATGCCTTTCCCAGACAACACGTTCGACGGGGCGTACTCGATCGAGGCGACGTGCCACGCGCCGAGGTTGGAAGAGGTATACGCAGAGATCTTTAGGGTTTTGAAGCCTGGATCTATGTATGTTTCGTACGAGTGGGTGACTACAGACAAGTACAGAGCGGAAAACCCAGAACATGTAGAGATAATTCAGGGGATTGAAAGAGGGGACGCCTTGCCCGGGCTGCGAAACTACCTGGACATAGCGGAGACCGCGAGGAAAGTAGGGTTTGAGGTAGTGAAGGAGAAGGATCTAGCAAAGGCGCCGGCGCATCCGTGGTGGAGCCGGCTGAAAATGGGGAAGATTGCATACTGGAGAAACCACATTCTGGTGACGGTGCTGTGTGCATTGGGGATAGCGCCAAAAGGAACTGTTGATGTGCATGAGATGCTTTTCAAGACGGCAGATTATTTGACCAGAGGAGGTGACACGGGTATTTTCAGTCCTATGCACATGATTCTGTGCAGGAAGCCTGAGGTACCACCACCACCGCACTCTACTTAGTTCCTCACTTCTACTTCCTTCCCCTTTGTGTTTTTCTACTTCGAACTTTTCTCTCCAGTTTCACCTATTTTCAATTTCAATTTTAATTTCAATTTTTTCTTCTTCTTTTAGGGTTTTTATTTCTTTGGTCATTAATTATGGGTTTTTGTATCCTTTTTTGAGTTTAATTTTATATTTAATTCTCGTTGGTGGATGGATGAAACTCAAAAACTTGATGTGGTAATTGATGGAATGAAAATTTTGATCTGCTTCTCTCTTTCTCAAATCTTTTCATCGTGAAGTAAATCAGTAAAAAAGAGTTTGAACGGCGTAGATCTGATGGGTTGAAAAGTAAAAACCACCGGCCACGGTTTTTGTTTATAAGCGTAGGTCTGACACATGGTCTCAGCTTTTGTCATTTTTATTTTATTTTTTGAACTTTTCTAGTCGTGCAAATCGTAGAACACATGGGCCATCCCCACCTTTATTTATCTCTCCTCTCTTCCACCTCTTACTCATTTTATTAATTAACCCATCAACTGTAATTAATGGATACCTCTTGTTCTTTCTCTTTCTTTAAATCACTAATTACCATTGTTGATTAAGAAGTTAGGGTTTGTGAGTTTTGCCTGGAGGAACAGCCTGTATTGTGTGCGAGGGACATTTGTGTCACAGGCTGCACGTGTTTTTGTTATTAAATATCTGAAATGGGAAACCCATGTTAGGACGATTTTTGGCTTTATCGTGGTGGCATTATACGTAAACCAGAGCATCTAGTTTCAACCCCAAACTTTATACATATATATACACACACACACACACACACATTTTAATATTTTAGGCTAATGCATGATTATGCACATTGCTGCTGCCCCATTTTGGGATCTTGATTGTCAGCCAAACACACAATATTTGATTGGATCCTTTGCACATAAGTATATTTGATAAGCTTGTTAATTTCGTCTCCGCCATTTATGTTTTGGGAGTGAATTTTGGGCTTATTAGAGAAAGAGAAAATAAGTGGTGGGTGCTAAAAAATTACATATCTTAATTGGATACTCTCAATTTATCCTCTCTTTTCCGGAAAAGACTAATGGGTATGCAGTATAATAGTCTTCACTCCTTCCTTGCCCTTTGGTTGTCTCCTAGTAATTTTGCATGTTTCCAGAACTTCCAAATAGCCATTCCCATGGGTTATATCTGCAGTAAATTTGTGGAATTTACATTTCAAGTAGAAGATGAAATTCTAAAGTAAAACTGAAGTTGGAGAACTTAATAGGAGTTCACTATATCTATATATTGAATCAATTTTCTGGTCCTAGTCGAAATTCTATGTTACGAATTAATAGTTAAATAGTGGGGACTCACCATTAATGTTATGAAAGTGAAAGATTTTTCAGTTCACATGAGCAGGATGTCTTTCATCAACTTAAGGTGGTGGGGTCCTGTTTTCTCTATTATAGGAAGTAGGAAGAGTGGCGTAGTAAATGGAAGTCTTTCTGCTTTCCATCCGCACATTATTAATTTATGATGCTGTAGACAATCTGACATCCAGGAGGCTATATAAGTAAGAAGATGAGAGAGAGCAGGTCTTAATTCAGGAGAATGGTGTTAGTGGTAATTTATGAAGTCATGAAACATGAAAAAGAATAAAGCATTCATCCATTTAATGTTCTGATTGCTCCGTCTCCTTCTTTATTGAAGTTTTGTCTTTTAAAGAATAAATATTTAATTTCTTTTTTAAATTATTCTTACCATGACATTCACTCTGTGTGTGTGTGTGTATATATATATGTATATCTCTCCTTAATGGGTCCTTTGTCCGATCCAATTTACCTTTTAAGTTTGTGGGTGTTTTCTTTAGTTATAAGTTCAAGTCTTTTTACATGATCACTTACTTATTTTATATGAGCACTGTAATAGATAATAGATGCATGCCATAACTCCTATTGAATTCCCATTGTGTTTAAGTAACTCAAAACTTTGCTTCAATTGCACGTACGAAAACTACGTATAAGAATTGACATAATGAAAAATAACCAAAAACTCAACCTAATGTCTCTTAACAGGACAAGTTTTGCCATGGCTCTGTTTTGATGTGACCATTGTTCCATCTTCCCTCAAACTCCAAAATACTTCAACTACAGGAACATTCAAAAATTCACTTACAGCATCTACTTCCAAAACAAGAAATAAACAATTAAGCTCTCCACTGCTATTAGATCCAGCAACTATATCTCAAATCTGTCGACATGATGAGTCAAGCTAAATAGTACAACTGCAACTAACCAGTCATGCATCCCTATTTTGAAACACCATGGCGATTGTTTAATCAACTAATGAGTCATGAATTCCTATTTTGCAGCACCATAGAGATCGTTAATCAAAGAATGCGCACATCTTCTACAATACAAGAAACCAGTCATGTTGAATTAAATGATTGATCTCTAATTTATGATTTACACGCGTACATGCACTCTCTGATGCTGCTGAAAGCTCAACTTTTTCTGGAGCTGATTTGGTGATAGAGCAAACAGTTAACTAGCTGGAGAAGAACTGAGTAATTCAAACTATCGCAGCCTCCGCTTGACACTACATAAAAATATCATTAGTTCCTTGATTGATTAACCAGGAAATT